TGACAATAAAATGTCAAGTGAAGTGACAAGAGCTGACAAAGAATATTCTAAAAAGACTCATACACATACCATTGCAAATATTACAAACTTACAAGAAACCTTAAACAGGAAAAGTGACGTTGGACATACACATTCTATATCTGAAATAACAGACTTAAACGTTAGCCTTGAAAAGAAAGCTGACAAAACATATGTCAACAGTGAGTTAGAGGAGAAAGTAGATAAGGGACTTATGGCTAGTGGGTTAGTGAAGAAGGCAGATAAGGAATATGTGGATGAAAAAGACAATGAAATTATAAAAAGGGTTGAATGGTACCATGAACGGACATCGAAGATTTTAGAAGGTAAAGCCAATACAGGGTGGGTTTCAGGATGTTTAGACCTTAAAGCCGACAAAGAAACTGTAGATATGTTGACACAAACGGTTTCAAGTCATACCAGAGGTTTAATGGAAGATGGACAACAGTTGAAAGAGCTTGAGAAAGGTGTTACAGAGTTAAGGAATACAAAAGCAGACTCGACATGGATAAAAGGATATGTAGATGCAACAAAAGAACGTATTTTCGCATGGACAGAAGGAACATACCCACAAAAATATCATAGACATAGCATCTCTGACGTAAATGAACTTGAAGAAAAGTTATATAAAAAAGCAGACAAAACAGAGCTTCAAACGTTAAAGACAGAAATACTTCAAACAGTATATCCTATAGGTTCTATTTATACGTCAATGAACTCTACCAGACCAGAAGTAGTACTTGGTTTTGGAACTTGGACTCAAATAGTCGAAAGGTTTTTGTATTGTGCAAACTCTTCAAAGGTAACAGGTGGAAGTAAAACGATTTCAGGTGAAAACTTACCTGCACACAGTCACTACATAAATTTAACTACAGCTGAAGCAGGTTGGCATAAGCATAGATATTGGGATTGGACAGGAATGACAAAAGGTAAAGGATATGATGTTAAAGACGACGTTAAGTTTGCTATAAATTGTTACTGGGATGACACGCAGGGAGGAGGAAGCCATACACATCGCATTACAGGATATTCGGAAACAACGGGACAGAGTAAAGACTACATGCCACCTTACATGACAGTTTACGCATGGTATAGAAATGCTTAGTCGTCATTTTCAACTTCTTTAGCATATTCGTCAGGAGTTGTCTTATATTTGTTAGGAACTGTCTTTGAAAGTATACCACCTTGAACTTTGACAAGTTTGAAACGAGGTCTGACAATAGTAGTTTTATCTTCTGCTTGCAGTCTGTACATTTTGCCATGTTTGCCTAAAACTTCATAATATTCTCTTGTATACTTTCTTCTATTTTTACGAACACGAATGCGAGTACCTGTCGAGTTCCCATTGTTGTCATAGTCAATAGTATTTTCATATGGGTCGCGTTTAGGTATTTCTATTTTTACTTTGTCACCTTTCTTAAGTTTGAAGCCTGGCATTCTTTCTTGTTTGTCTCTTTTGACTAAACTATTAAATATATAGTCTTTCTCTAAGTCAGGGTTGTTTTTCATTTCTTGGGAGAGTGGTTTCCCAAACCTTTTTGTTTACGGCTATTGTAAATATTTAAAACTTGTCTCATCTTTGCCATGGAGAAGTGTCTATACTTGTCGTCATATGACATTTCATCTACCTCACCACCTTGTGGTTGGTTTAAGTCTCTTAAGATTTTTATACAACTGTCAATGACACCAAGAGCAGAATGGTTTTGGTCGACAATGAAATATTGGTTTACATTTTTTGAACGCAGATAGTTTTTAATATCGTCTGATTTGAAAGAACGTTCACAGTCAGATGTCAGTTTTGTTGGATGGTATTTGTCAACGAATATTGTCAAAGCAGTTTTCACATCTAAAATATTTTTGGACTGTAATGGTATGGCTTCACAGTATCTTGTGTTTTGACCGACAAATATTAGCCAGTATGGAGGTCCATCTTCTCTATACCTCGGAATGTTTTCCAAGATATCCATAAACCAAGCATTTGGTGTTGAACTAAAGATTTTTACCATGAGTGCTTTCTTTGTTGCTTTAGAAACATAGGGTCCTTGTTGGATTCGTCATTTTTTACCCTATAAGAAATGGGTTTATTTGGCGCATTAGCAGGAGTTGCATCCAGATTTTTGCCCGCAGTGGGAACAATAGCCAGAGGTGTATTTGGAGTTGGAAGGAAGATTTTGAGTACATTAGGTATACTTAAAGAGAAAGCACACCTATTATACAAACTGTACAGAAAGGTTGGGATGTAGCACGAGATGCAGCAAATCTTATTCCAAATCCTGAAACAAGAGGAAAAGTTCAAGGATGGATGGACAATGTAGGAAGAGAAGCAGGAAACTACTATAACAAAGCAAATGACTACTATAACCAAGCAGGACACTATATGGACCAAGGTGAAAGATTCTTTAACAGAGGATATAACCATGCACAACAATGGGTAAACAATAACCAACCTCAACCGCCTCAAACGTGGGGAATGTAAAGTTTTTTACTGAGATGAAATGAACAATACAGCATTGAGACAAATGGGTTCAAGATGGATTTGTCGGCTTCCAGCAGTTACACAACGTGTTTGTCAAGTTCTTCCTATACCTCAGGAAGTTTTAGACCGACTTAAAAAACCTAAACAACCAGTTGAAAACAAACCAAACTAAAATTTTTTACTGAGATGAAATGACCGAAGAAGTTGAAACGGTAGATTTGACACCACAAACAAAAAGTTCAGAACCATTGTCAAAACCTGTCAAAGAACTTACAGATGAAGAGAAAAATTCAATAATAGAAGGTGCCAGGTCTGGAAATGCAAACCCTAACTACAAAGTCACTTTTCATAGAAATGGAACGGCTAGTATCTCAAAAAAGAAACAGACTCTCACAAATAAAATATTGAAGTCTGAAGGAGCTTTCGAGACAACAGATGGGAAGGTATTCTTCACTGACCAACAGTTCATTATAGAACATCTCATTGACTTAGAGTCGAAATATTCTAAACTTTACAACAAACACAAAAAGTTGAAAGGAAAACAAAAACAAATGGCATATGATATTTATGAAGATGTTGACGACACAACCATACCTGCAGGTGGGGTAAAACCCGAGGAACCGAAAAGTGACGAAAAACCGATAGAAGAAGGTGAGCCAAAAACTGAAGATAAACCAAAACCAAAGTTTAGTTTCCAAACTAAACCAAGTCAACCTTCATTAGCTGGTATGGGTTGGCGTCAAAGACTTATGGTAGCAGGAGGTTATGTAAAGTAAAGAAAAAAATATTTTTTCAAAAAAAATATTTTTTTATTTTATTTGAAATGTACGCTGAGTTTGTTGGAAAAGACTGTTGGAAAACTTGTTTGTTAGATGAGAAATATGAAATTCACTGTTGTGAGTCATTTGAAGTCAGAAACAAAGAGACAAAAAGAGTTTTAAGCGGATGGGAGCGAAATGACGGATATGCTATGATGAATCTGGGTGGAAAATGCTATTTAAAACATGTTGTCATTGCAACTCATTTTATACCGAATCCTAACAATTTACCTTTTGTAGACCATATAAACCATATAAGAAACGACAATAGACTTGAAAACTTACGCTGGGTCACTTGTTCTGAAAACAATAAGAACATAGGCAAATTTCGAGATATTGTATTCGAATTTGTCGACGAACTAGAAGATGAAGCAATTGAAATTACAGACTATGGTAAGCATACGTTTGAGTTTTACTACTATAGCGAAGAACAGGACTCTTTCTACCTTTATACCGGCGTAAACTATAGAAAATTACAAGTATGTTTTACTAAGGCGGGCTATGCTTATGTAAACACTAGAGATACAGATGGAAAAAACGTTCGTATACTTCTTAACAAATTCAAGAAGCTATATGGCATACCATTTTAAAACATTTTTTAAAACAGTATATTTTTACATATATTAAATGTTTCAGGTTGAAAAACAAAGAACAAAAGCAGCAGATACAAAACCGTTAGACTATATCTTTACAAATGCCGGTAGGAATATATCAGATGAAGAAATTTCATCCGGCTCCTACCGCTTTGACTTTCCAATTCGTTGGCTTCAAAGTCCTTCAGATGCAAAGGCAATAGGATTTAGAAGAGTTTTGTTTTCAAAAAGAACTAACGCGTTTATGTTTGCAGTATATTTTCACGGTCAGTATAGAGGTTCTGACGGTCTACTAGACAAATTTGACGAAATGAGAATCTTTACGGTTCGTTCAGACGAAAGTCTTGAAGACTCTAAATGACTTTCAAACTCAAATAAACAAATATTATTGGGAATTTCAAGAAAAATACGACTCTTTACTAAATGGAACATACTATCTGAAACTAGAATATGACAAGATGAACTCCACAGTTTCATTTCAAAGGATTGAAAATAACCCTCCAAGAGATACACAGTTTTTATTTTGGCAAGTAGACAAACGTTCTTGGGCACAATTTCTTCGGTTACTAAACCAGAACGAACCATTACCACCTGACGGTCCGTTCTGGTTTATACGCCCACCAACAGATTTGACAGTTTATAGAAACGTGTTTGACCCTCAAAATGTTATGTGTCATGCAAGTTTTAGTTCAAGCAACAATAGTTTTCTTTGTATTGGTAAGGACTTTTATGACTTTGCTTCTAAATTCTACGAACCACCTAGTAACAGTTTCTCTGACTTTCAAGTTTGGTTCACAACAAATGGTGTGCAACATATTGTTCCATTGTACTACGACTTTTATCTCGAATTGTCTTTCATATATAACTACGGAGAAGTGCTGAAAAAGTATTGAAAAATATATTTTAGGGTAGAAGGGTATATCTACCCCGTTTTCTACCCTCTTTTCTACCCTCATGAATTTTCATGAATTTCCTTAAGATAGAAAAAAAGTGAGTTAAAATGAGATTTTTATCGTTGTGGTCCGACGGTTAAGCCACAAACGAATGTCCGACGGTTAAGCCAAAAATATTTTTTATTTTTATTGTAAGAACAGTATGACAGTCGAAGCAAAAACGTTCACGAACAAATCTAATGGCGAAACATTCACAAAAGGCACTTACAACGGTATTGAAGTCTTACGTAGAGACAAGGATGGTTATATAAATGCAACAAAGATGTGTCAGCAGTTTAGGAAAGACTTTAGAAGGTTGTTGGAAAATAAGTCCTGGGAAGAGTATTTTGAGGCATTTTGTGAAGAATATACCAACCCGCGGAATTCCGCGGGTTGCTTTTTATACACAGTTCATGCAGGAATTCCCGATGAAATCAAACAGGTTAGAGGAACGTATGTAGACCCAAGACTTGTAAACTATATAGCAATGTGGGCTTCTCCAAAATATTGTATAGCAGTTGGAAAAATTTTGGACTCCATAGACAAGAAAGTTCATGAGAAATTAGATGAAGAAGAACTTGAAGATACAGTAGAGAATGCTAAACCTTTGTTCGAAGAAGAAGTTAGAAAAATGCATGAAAAACAAATAGAACATGAACGTGAGATATGTTCTGGTTATAGGACTCTCCATACGAACTAGACCAATGGGAACAAGAAGATTTAAAGAGAGAATTTAGAGAATATGAACTCGCTAAAATTTCATTAGAAGCTGCAGAAAAGAAGTTAAAAGTTTGGGGTCGTTTTGTACAAAAATATTGTGAGTAAATGAACCATTTTTTTTCGACAAAAATATATTTTAGGGTAGAAGGGTATATCTACCCCGTTTTCTACCCTCTTTTCTACCCTCGTAGAAAACACACAAAACTCTTGAATTTTGTATAAAAAAAGCAACCCGCCGTTTTCCGCGGGTTGGTATATTCTTCACAAAATGCTTGTTTTGAGGTCGAGCCATTTTTGGCTCCACCGTATTTTTAAACCAAACTCGTTCATTTTGTGCTGAAATAAAATAAAGGTAGTCCCACCAAAAAATATTTTTTTATTTTTATTGTAAGAACATGTCAGCAACAACAGCACCAAACTCGTTAGTCATGAACCCAACTTCTATGTTAGTAGAGATGAAAAGCTTCATTCCTTCTTCATATACTTTCGAAACAGAAATCCAGAAGATAAAGCAGGAACTTCTCCAAGGAGATTTAGACTGTAGTGCAAAAGATGAAACAAATGAACAGTATCTTTATGAAATGCAGGATATTATTGACCATCTACCTAAACTTCCTGAAATACAACAACAAAAGCTCACTATTCCAGAATTCGATGAAATTGAAGTCAGACTGACTGACTCAGTTGAAATAAAGAAGTTCATTCGTAAGATAAACTATGAGTTTCTTGGATTTCATTGCAACCACAAAGTCATTGACATATATAAATCTGAAGAATTTAAGACCTACGACAACTTTGTTTCGTTAGTTGCTGAGTGTGTCTTGCAGATAAGAGATAAAGATAGAAGAGGTAAGATATGGAATGAACAGATAAAACCCGCAACTTTTGAGTTAAAGAAAACCATCTACGCCTTAGTCATACTAGCAGGACAAATTTCAGAATATAACGCAAAAATGAACTCACAATGTTCAAAATGTAAAGCAGCAACAAGGAAATATAACTACTCCGTCAAAGAGATAGAACGTATGCGAAAAGACCATACTGACTTAAAGAAAGAAGTAGAGAAACCAGCAGAAGATAAAATGGACATGTTGACATTTCTGAACAAAAACTATCCAACTGCTAACGATTTCCTTCTTTCAGATGTCAAGAAGAAATATAAAGAAACCTTCGGCATAGTTAAAATTTTTGATATCCTTCGTGAAGAAATAGAAGCTACAAAACTGTTTAAAGTCATGAACCATCACAACATATACCATGTAAAACGCTTGTAAAATAACTGGGGTAGAAATGAGGGTAGAAAACGGGGTAGATATACCCTTCTACCCTAAAATATATTTTTATTGAATTCTGTATAAAATTCTGAGTAAAATGACATATGGAACACATACTTTTTCAGTAAGGACATATGGGGTAGAAATGAGGGTAGAAAACGGGGTAGATATACCCTTCTACCCTAAAATATATTTTTATTGAATTCAGCAACAAATTTCATGAATTTCCTCATATGTTTGCTACCCTCGGAAAACCGAGGATAGAGATTCCATTCGAAAATCGTAAAAAATTGCGACCCGCGGAAAACCGAGGAACGCCTAAAACACATGAAAATCGTAAAAAAATGACCAAATTTCATGATATAACTGTATCTTTTATACAAAATAAAATAAAAGCTAGTTTTTTTAAAATATTTTTTTTTATTTTGTATGTAAGAACAGGAAATGTCAAACACTGAGTTTGAAACAGTTAAAAAGATAGACAATGAGACCAAGGTGGTTAGAATAGGTGATTTAAACGTAAGATACTCAAAGAAATACAAAAAATATTCTTTGTCAGACATTTTAACACTATCTGAAGGAAAGAAAGCACACGACTGGGTTAAAAATGCTTCTACTCAGAAAATTTTGACAAAAAATCCTGAGCTTATGATATCGGTAAGATTCTATGGAACAAGAGCATATCTCATCGACAAAAGTCTTATACCAGTAGTTTTGTTCTGGATTGACCCAGTTGTTGGATATAATTTCATAACATATGGTTCATTCGATACGGAACGTTGCAGTGAAGGCTTACTTTACATCGTTCAGAAACCAAAGGACTTCAATACAAAGAGATATAAGATAGGAAGAACATTTAATATAACTCAAAGATATGACAATATAGTCAATAGAGTTAAGGTTGCGTTCGTTAACGATATGAGAGCTGCTGAAACAGAACTACTTGAAAAGTTTGAGAAGATGTATGGTGCTCCCACGAAAGGTAGGGAAACGTTTGAAGTAGATGAGATAGATAAAGCTATAAAATTATTTGACGAAGTTGCTGAAAAATACATGTAAAGCGTTTATTTTTGGTCTTTTATACAAGATAGAAAATAACGCTAATTTTATTTTTTTTTATTTTTTTATTTTGTATGTAAAGACAGATATGTCAACAACAGAGAACACAACAACAGTTATAGTCCATGAAGCTATAAATGAAGAATACGAGTACATACAGTATAACAAACAGTTACGTCTCATTCGTTCGGTCAAAGACGATATGTACCAAATGCAAAGTATTTTGACAGCATGTTATGCTCCAGATACTAAGAAACCACAAGACTGGTTTAGGAACCAAAGCACACAAGAACTTTTGAGCGAAGCACAGCGAGACATACTTTTTTCTGAAAACAGTGAAGAACAGCGACTACGAGAAAAACCGCAGTCGCCAAAACTCTATGAAAATCGTGAAAAATTGCCAAATGGTTTGAGAGGATATTATGTTCATAGACTTCTTGTAAATAATGTGGCACAATGGGCTTCAGCTCGCTATTCATGGTATGTCTGTAAACTTCTTGACGAAATTCATAGACAAGAACGTGAAGAGATGGAAAAGAAACTTCAAGCAAAAGATGAAGTCATTGAAGCAAAAGACAAAACCATACAGAAAAGAATACCACGTTCGGTACCAAAAGGAAAGGAAAAGAACTATAAGTATATGATTTATACTGAAGAGATGGAAAATGAAGAAGACAGAGATATGGTTATGTTGCATTTAGTCAGAAGAAACAACAAAAGCTTTTACGACCTTGCTAAGATTTACAAATCTGACAGAAATTGGTTCTATCGCGAAAACTTACCGATTTCAATGACACCGAATGAAGATGTTAAACAGATAGTTCAAGATACGTTACCTCAAACACACTATGATATGAAAGGTTGTACAATACTTACCTTCAAAGAAGATTTGCCATTGTTAAAGGAAAAAATAACAGAGTATTTCGACAACTTCAAACAAGTAGGGTAAATTTCAATCTTTATTTTTACGCTTGACCTTTACATTCTGCCTGAGGAAGTCTTTAACAAGCTCGTTAATTTCAATTAGATAAATTGCTTCGTCTAAGGGGTCAAGCTCCATACTGAGTCAGTACAATGTTGTACTTTTTCAAGACAATATTGTACTTTTTCAAGACAATGTTGTACTTTTTCAAGACAATGTTGTACTTTTTCAAGACAATATTGTACTTTTTCAGAACAATGTTGTACTTTTTCAGAACAATGTTGTATAAATTCAGTACAATGTCTCTCAAATTTGAGTACAGCTGTACTTTTTCAGAACAAGTCTTGAACTTTTTCAGAACAATGTTGTACTTTTTCAGAACAATGTTGTACTTTTTCAAGACAATGTTGTACTTTTTCAAGACAATGTTGTACTTTTTCAAGACAATGTTGTACTTTTTCAAGACAATATTATATTGTTTCAGAACAAAGACGGTTAAGACACAAACGAATGTCCGACGTTCCTCTTCCTGAATGTCTTCCAAAGCCAGAAGAACCGACAGCCCCAGCACCACAACAGACTAAGACTCAAACTCTTACATTTTTCAAGCTTGACTTTTTACAATTTGAACTTTGTTCGCGTAGATGTGAATTCTGAAAGAAGTATGAGGGTCTTGTATGACTTTGTACTTCTCCCATAGTTCATGTCTGTCAAACTTACCTGCCATGGACTCTTTCATAAGTTCCATGAAATCGTCTTCGGACAATCCAGGGAAAAGTACAATGTCAGTAAGTATTCTCTTTACATCCTTACTTAAACTCTTGGCTGTCTGTACACAAATGACAACTGAAATGTTAAAGTGTCTGAGCTTCTTAAGAATTCGACACATGTCTTGTTCTCTGTTCTTTAACAAAGGATGAGAAGCAAAGTCATCTAAGATAAGAAGACATCTATGAGGGTAAGTCTTCCAATCGTACGATTGCAATTTCTTCGAAATGTATTCTATCTCTTTCTGTTTGTTTCTGAAGTGTTTCTTCTCTAATATTCTCTGCATTTCCTCATTTGGGTCTTTAAACTTCGAATTTATATACTCATTTATAGCATTGTACTTCAAAACTCTTCTTTGGTACTTCTTTATCCAATCTAACAACTCAGAGTCTTTTATACATACTAACTTAGACTTCTTTATAATATCTTTGAACGAATTGACGGTTTGGTCAAATTGACCGAAGTACTACAAATGACAACTAACTCATAGAATGGGTTCTTCTCATCTAGTTCTTGTTGTTGTGCAGCCATTTTAAGATAAGTGAAAGTCTTACCCGACCCAGGTGGTGCGATTAGACCTGTTATACCATTCTGAGCAAATAAGAACTTGTCATGTATGGGTTTTATCTGAGCATTTTCTAACTTTCTCTTGTTCTTCTTCAAAACATTCTCAAATTTCTTGTCAATGTCAGCAAACTTTTTTTCTAACATATTTTTAGAAAAATTAAAATTTTTATCTTTTAGAAAATGTCTAGCGATTTCGCTATCTATATTCGAGACAAGCTTTTCGACTCTAAAACTTCTGTCGACCATAAAATCTTACATAGTGTAAACAAGAAAGGTGAATTTGTTCTAAAGTTCTGTTTCTGGGAATATGACAAGAACCATAAAACATTACAAAGAGCAGTCTTAAAATTTGTCAATGACAGACTTGTTGACAGAGATGACGCCGATTGGAAAGATGAAGTCCAACAAAAGTTCTTAGAATGCAAAGAAGACACATGCGCTGTTCTTGAAGATGAAATAGAAAACAGAATAGAAGAGCTATTAAAGGACAAAGAACTTTTACATAAATATGGTTGCGCCAAATTTGACATAACTCCACCAGAGAAGAAGAAGAAGAGAGAAAAGAAAGAAAAGAAAGTAGAAGAAAAGAAAGTAGAAGAAGAGAAGAAAGAACCAGAGCCAGTTCCAGAGAAGGTGAGATATGACATGTAAAAATAAAATTTTATTTTTAGAACATTTCTGGGTCAATGTCAATGTTCTCTTCCTCTTTAGGAGCAAACACTGGCTTAGACTCTAAAATCTTTTTACCTAATTTACCTTGAACTTCAACTATCTTAGACTCATAATATTCATAGTCGTCTGCTTTCTTTGGTTCATAAGGTATAACAAGTTTGTATGCTTTGCCTTCTTTAAGGTTTGAGAACCTTCTGTCAAAATTTTCTTTGACTGCTAACAAACCTTCTATGTCTAAGTCTTCAAATTTCGCACCATTTTTAGTCACAATAGCAAACTTAACGGGTTCGATGTTCCAAACTTTGTCAAATGAAGACTTTTCAAAATGGTAGAAGTAAACATTCAAATATGCGAATGGGTCTAGTTCTTCTTTGACTTCTGTCATGTACTTGTTTACTGATGAATTTTCCATCTTTTCTATCGGATAAAAAAATATTTTTTTTAAATTTACTCAGAAAAATTTTTCTTTGTATATACACCATTCTGAACATCTAAAAGATTTTTGACATTTGCCAAGAATGTTCGTTTAGACGCTGTCATATAACCATATTCTTGACAATATTGTTTATACGAATCGTACAATGACCTTTCATCTAAACACTCAAAGTTAGTCTCATCTATAAACAGTTCATATACACTCTTGTTTGCTTCTAACAATGTTTGTCTCTCTTCGGTATATGGAATTTGTCTTGGATTGAACTTAGAAATATCTAATGTCATGAAATATGAGAACAAGTGGTTGTAAAAGTTAGGTGTCAAAGTTTCTGCTAAGTCGTCAAAATATTCTGTATCTTGCATATGAGAATCTGACGTTCTGACAACTACATATCTTCTGTCAGAACTTTCTAACTTCATCGGAACGGCGTTGTTTGAAACCATAATGAAGTTTGCAACATTTTCACAAACTCTTTGGTCTTTATATTTTCTTTCAACAACTCCAACTTTGTCTGTTATAAGACTCTTCAAAGCATCTGAGTTTAAAACCTTTGTTGTATCTATACTTTGAAGTTCGTTACATACTATAAGTTTCATATTCTCTATTGAGAGTTAAACTTCCACAGATGTTTTCTAAGTTTGTCATATTAGGGTTCGAATAGCCCTCTAACAGTTTGCATAAGATATCTGTAAAGAAAGTGTTCTTACCTGTTCCTTGTTTTCCAATTATGATGAGAGCAGTTTCATTTTTAGCACTTGGATATTGTAAGATGTTTGCAAACCAACATAAGATATACTCATAGACTCTTTCGTTTCCATTGCATATAATTTCTTTGACATGGTCTAACCAAGCTTCTATAATATTTTCTTTCCATTCTACTTGTTCGTATTTATATCCAGTGAAGATAGAATAGAAGTTTGGAGAAGGTGTATAAAACTTTATACCTCGAACTGAAAAATCTTCTAACTTCGACAATAAGATATCCCAAGCATCTAACATCTTCATACCAACTTGTACGACTTTTATTTTCTTAAGTTTCTGTCTACATTCTTGTTCTGAAACTATGGTTGCTCTTGGTTTGTTAAAGACAACATCCCATTCTTTCATGACATAACATTCTGGGGCAGAGTCGACATAAATGACTAAACGTTTCAAATTCTCGACTGCTTTGTTATAGTCTCTAAATGGACACATATTTCTGAATGCTTGGAAGTCATAAAAATCTGAAACGTCTATTCTGTACATTTTTATAAAATAAAAAAAAAATATTTTTTTTATTCTTGACTTTGTTGTTGCATTTGTTGCATTTGTTGTTCTTGAGCTATTTGTTGTTGAAGTTGTTCTTGTAATACAATACTTTCACCAGTTGCATCTTCCAATTCGAAACTTTCTGCCGTCATTGACAAATACATAGGACATAAAAGTTTTACAGGAACAAAGTTTGCGTCGACTAATGTAACGTTATGTTTGCTAAAGTGTTTGAGTTTACTAAAGCTGAAAACTCTGCATTCGAATGAACAATAGGCAAACCAGCAGAGAAAGTATTGTTTATACGCATAAGTATCTTTTGGTCATAGTAGTTTCTGTCGACATTCGAATAACACTTTGAACCTAAGTTTGAAACAATATATAAAATAGGTGTACTTAAAGTCAATGGAACAGACAAACCTTGTATGACACCTTTTCCTGTTATAGGAAACTGTTGGTAGTAAAAACCAGATATAAGTTTTGTATTATAGCTCATATCGTTTATACTAAACTCAGTCGGACATCCAAACATAATGAAACCTGCTCTAGTTGCAGCACATGTTACATCCGTCCTTAAAGTATTAAATAAGTCAACAAAACCTGTTGGTGGTATATCTGAGTAAGTATCTTCAAAGAAGTATTTTTTACCATTCACAACAACAAAGTCTTCTGGTGTCAAAAGAGCAAAACAGGCTTTAGTCGTCATTGTGTTTAAAGTTAGTTTACAATATCGTCCTTGAGGACTTTGTAAGTTTGTTGTTATAGAATTATATGACTCAGGGTTTTTAGTCGTAATAGTATAAACCACTATGTCTTCTGCCATTTACTTAGCAAATAAATTTTAATGAAATGTTGTGGTCGTCAAATATTTTTATGACGTCTGGGAAACTATATTTTAAGTTCAACGTTTCACCTCCTTTCATAACGTATATCTTGTCAATGACATTATATGAAACACCACAGCAAGCAATGTCGGGTTCTATTTCTTTGATGTTTATATCGTCTGCCTCTGTCAAAAGTTTCAATAGTTCTTTCAAAACTTCATGAGGTGCGATGACATATGAGTTCACTTTTACAGGGTTGTGTTCGACCAAGTTTAACATTATACCTAAAGCTTGACAAATCTTCTCCTGAGTTTTAAGTTTGTCTTTAAGTTGTTGTAGTCATTTCGAATATCTGCAACAGAACTTAAGTCTCTGCTAACTTCAGGATATGTTGGTTGTTCTTTTACAGGAACTATTGTTATACCATCTTCGTCTTCGTATGGTTTCCCCACTTCAACATCTCTTTCTTTGACATTGACAACAACACTTTGACTGTTTGTTTGAGTTGGTGAATTTAACTTCACATCTGCCACCGCCATTAAACCTTTTGAAACACTTACGCTTCTATTTTTCGGAAATGACATTTTACTAGAATAAAAAGATGGACGTATTTGAGTATCTCTTCGAATTGAAGCAAAACAAAGTTTACACACACAAACAATACAATCATTGACAGAATAGTTCTTTATACAAACAATGGAAAATGTTATAGAATAGCAGTCTTTGCTGAACCAAAAATATTTTCATAAAGCAAAGAAAGTTGGTATAACCGAGATGGTGAAAGTTCTTGAAGCAGACAAAAATATAAACTTCAAAACTTACAGATATTTCTAAAGGTAAGTTTATAATACAATTTTATGTCAAAACTGGCGTACTGTCAATATTTGACGGAGAGAAGTCAGTTCAAGAACAACTTACTGACCTGCTGCCAAAAATCTGCTCGATGGAAGCTGTCGTTATACCAATCTGAGGAGCCCCAGCAGGTTTCATCGAAACGAATCTTTCAAAAGAGCATCTTCCGTGAAAAGTGCTATTGGTTTTGTAAACTTCTTTGCTTTCAATTCATTTGGACCGTCTCTGTCACAGTATATTGTATTTGAACTGTACCAACAGTTGAAATACCACCCATAAAGTCTTCTGAGTCAGCAAATGGAATGCCAAGCCAAAAGTTTGAACGGTCTCCATTTGTATATTGAGTTTTTTGACCTCCTGTATGAGTCCATACTTTCACATATGGCATAATAGAACTTTGCATTTCAGGGTTAATGGTTGTTGTGAAGTTGTTGTTAAAGTTCATAGCATCTAATGTCAAGTTGTATGACCTCATATCTTCAACTGTAGAATATTTCTTCTCTTGGATAATATTTGCCATCTATGTTTATATGGTTTTAATACCAGGGTTGTAGAAGCAAGAATAGTCATTTATAGTTCGTCTGAACAGTACAAACATAGTATCTGCATGTTTTCATGCAGTTGTTAAGGCAATATCTGTTCTTGCACCTGGGTCAGCACTTTGGTTTCCAACTTCACCTGCAAAGTCTTTGACAGATATTTGGTGTATAGGGAACATAAGTGGAACTGCAATATATTTGGCAGCTAAAGCATTTGAAATATCTGGGTCCAACATATAGACTGCAAGTCTGCTTTCTATTCTCTTGCATTCAAACTTTTCGCATGTAAACTTAACTGGGTCCCAAGCATCTCCAGCAGCATTGAAATAATAGTTTACTTCAGTGTTGAGGTTTGAGAAACCAAAGTCTAAGTCAACTTTGTTTTTGCAAAGTCGGCGAATGACATTTTATTTGTTCCCACTACTTCTGTAAGAGTGAATGGGTCTTGTGTTGGTGCAATGACTAAGTTATTTTTGCTTGGAGTAAGTTCGATAGAAATTTTTCCTGCCCAGTTTGGCAAGTATCTTAAAAACCTGAAGATGAGGAAAGATGACAAAGAACTCTAAGTTTCAAATTTTACTTTGGTTACTGCTGCTGCATTTTGTCCAGAAAGGTCAACATAAACTCCTGGAACGTTAGGGTCAAGTCTTCTTATTTTCTCAATAGTTGCATACTGGTCTGTTTGTTCTCTAGCTTGTGGTTGTACTGAGTTTCTCAAAGCGAACCATTCATAGTTTGCCCATGTTACTGTTTGAACTAAGTCAGAGTTAGAATATATCTTATATCCCATGAAAACTTCTGGAGCATATTGGTATCCGACATAGAAAATTCCATTGCAACCTTTCTTGTCAGACAACTTGGCAGAAGGTTTTATTTCAATGTCTTGTTCCACGTATAAGAATGAGTTGTCAATAGAAATAATATGAAACCTGTCGCAAGCAATATCTACTGTTGTTGAAGAACCTTCTCCAAACTCACCTACGTTTCCATAAGAAACAGCAGTTGTATATTCGTAAGTTCCAGGAACTATTTCTGACCTTCTAATGGCATTGTCGCATTCGTTATACCATTCGGAAACATTTCCATTCATAGCATCCAAAACTGTTGGCGTTATATTCTGAGCGGCGTACATTTCATATGAGTAAAAATATAGAATAGTTGGATTTATATGTCATAATAGAACCACTCCGACCAAGCTTTACTTTCTTCCTGACTGAGTTTTTAACTCTTCTTTTTCCTTCATTGCCCTCTGCTTGAAGTTGTTGCATCTTTGCATTATGTTCATCTAGTATGTTGCAAATTTCCCATGTCCTTTTGCCTTTGGGCTCTGGTCGCCCATCTCAGGTAACCTATATCCTAGAAAGATTTTGTCATAGTTTGTATTTGAGTCTTCGCGTATTGTTTGCATGACTCTTTCCTGAGTTTCCGGTTCAAGCTCTTCAAACAGTGCCTGTCCATATGGAATATGCTCGTTTCCAAATATATGTTTTTGTAGCCATTCTGGTTTTCTTTCCATGTTACCAACTATATCTTTTGTGAATGGGAAAGCTTCTACCCAATCTTTCAGTCTTGCGTCGTTTATTTCTGTAGTTGGTTTTATTTTGTCAAGGAACATGTTTTTCAATACTAACATTTCATCTGGTACTGTCCATTTGAGTTTTCTTAAATATTCATCCCTTCTCAGTTCATTGTCTGCAAAGTAAGTTTTTATGACATTTTGTAAACTTTCGTTTGCAAGGTCATGTACAATAGGTTCTCTTCCTTCGCTCTCCCTAACTTTCTTTCTAAACTCTTCACCAAATATACCATCTCTATGGTTCTGTGTAGTTCTTTGAGATAAATGTTCTAGAACGTCAGGTGTTATATTTCCATCAGCCATGTTCATTTCATACTGGTCCAAAATATCTGCATGTTTCATATCTTTCAATGGCATTAAAGCCGCGCTTAAAATACCAGCTATATCTGGTTCACCATTGACTTCCATTGCGTCTACAACTTCTTGGAATTGTGGTTGTAAGTTTATGAACCACCTATCTGGATTAGCTTTATGACCCCATCTCATTGTAGTTCCATCGTCTGCAGAAACAAAAGTAGGTTTGTTTCCATCTTGGTTAGGTTCTGAATGAACTTTAAACAATGTTTCATTTCTATATGTTTTCTTGAAATTTAACCTTTTATCTTCACCGAGTTCATCCGAAGATTGAACGTTAAATGCTCGTAAGTAAAAAGGGTTGTTGTATTTGTGTACATTTTTTTTCAGTTCTTCCATTCTATGCTGGATATTTTCATCTGATGTTGGAGTCTTTTGTATGTCGGCAAACATTTTTCGATATTCTTCTACTATGTCAGCCGAATTTTTTTTAGACTCTTGGAAATATTCCATATTCTCCGCATACTCTTGTTGAGGGTCAAGATTTTTCGGCTGTTCCAAATCTTCATCTAGTTCTGTGAAGTTAGTTTCCAAAGGAGTGACTTGTTCGTTTCCTTCAGGCTCTTCTAGCTGTTGTTGCTGAACTATTTCTTCCATGTCTGGTTGTATCTGAACTATTTCTTCCTGTGGAGTTTCTTGTACCTCATCTGCTGGCATTTCATATATTCCGAGACCGTTTTTAACAAGTTCCCTATCTAAGTCATCCGGACTCATAAACCTTTCTTCTTTCGTTCCGTCTCTATTTTTTACGCGTTTCATGAAGAGAGTTGTATTGTCATTTAGCTCTGACACCAAATATCTCGGAGTAAATTCATCCATGTCATTTGGATGATATGCTATTAAATCATATCCCTTAGCGAGCTTGTATTTTCCAGGTTTGAAATTATATCCCATTTGGTGCTGAGCCATAAAGCTAAATAGGTTCGGGTCAGTATTTCCATCCTTGAACTTTCTAATAGCTTCTTTATATCTGTCACTAAAGTCAATAGTATCTGGGTAACCATACTCTTCCTTCAGCATTTTTAAGAATTCTTGGTTTCCTTGTTCTCTACTTCTTTTATGTCCTTGCTCTGTTTGTGGTTGTTGTTGTGCAGGGTTTTGAACTGTTGGTTGCTGTGCTGGTTGTTGTGTTGGTTGTTGTGCTGGTTGTGGAGGTGGTTGTTGTGCTGGTTGTTGTGCATGCCTGTGTCTGTGTCCATGTGACGATGTAAATGTTCTAGGTAGTCCTGGTGCAGGTGCTTCTCTTGGAGGTTTGGTGGTATATAAGTTCCACCAGCTGGCACATATGTTCCATCTGCAGCGTAATGTCCTACCTGACTTTTCGTTCTTAAGAAAGCATTTACTAGGTCTGTTTTGGTCTGTTGTAACTCTTTTTCTTGACTTTTCACAACAGTTGCTCTAACGGCGTCATAGGCACTTTGAACTGCCTGTCTCGTTGCTGCATCTGTTATTTTCGTCATATTTTGTGCTACTTCTTTTAACTCTTTGTCGAAACCTTCAGACTTCAGTTTCTTTCCAGATGAGAAGTCGTTCACTTGTTTCACCTTACTATGAAGAGCTTCGAAGGCGTTCTTAAAGTCAGCATTTGTTAAAGCTTCATTTGAACTGTCTTCATCCGCTTGTATTTTTGTCCTTATTGACCCTATAAGCTGGGCTGCTTTAGCGTTGGCTTGGGCATCTAACCAGTCATTGTTAGCTTTTATATATTCTGCGCTTTTCATTGCCTTTTGCATGGCTGCGTCGTTATTTTTACTTTCTTGTGCTAAGTTTTCATACTGTACGGTTTGGTTTTGCAACTGTAAAAGTTTTTCTGCCTTTACATTTGCTTCAACTTCTTTTTTATACTCATCGCTATCCATATATGTCTTCAGGGCTTTTTGTTTTATTTCTTCATCTTTCAGTACTTTATATCGAGTAGTATGGTTTTTCAAATTTACAACATCTTGTTCCATTTTTGCTACTTCTGCTGCTTTTTCTGACACTTTTTTCGCATATTCCTCTGTACTTAGTTCTTTCAGTTGTTCTTCTTTCTTCTTTTTCTCTACGTTTAACTCATTGAGTTTCTTTGTGTGTCTGTCATATTCTAGTTTCTTTTCGTTTTCACTTATTTGCTTCTGTATGTCTATGTTTGACTTTTTGACATCTGTTATTTGATTTTTGAGTGAACTCAAATTCATTTGACTTTGAGGGTTATATGCTGTTCCGTCTGCAGCTCCACCATAGCCTGCCATTTTCGCTAAAAGTGCCGCTCTTAAACCTCCACTCTGTGCACCAACAACTCGGTTTAAAAGCATAGGATTGCTTGACATTTGTTGCAACATAGTGGGGTCATTCAGCATTTGTTGTTGCAACTGTTGTTGTGGTGTCAGTTTTACTTTTGGATGTTTCAATGCTCCCTTCCTCTTACGTATATTCTTACGTAGCTTACGTGGCATTTTAAGTGAAGTTAAAAAGCGGTTTTTGACAGATGTTTTATTGTGACTTCTTCGTAAAGACTTTGTTGAGATTTCTTCGTAAATGAGTGTAAATGACCCAAAAATATATTTTAGGGTAGAAGGGTATATCTACCCCGTTTTCTACCCTCATTTCTACCCTCTTGAATTTTCATGAATTTCTTCGTAAAGACTTTGTCAAGACTTCTTCGTAAAGACTTTGTTAAGACTTCTTCGTAAAGACTTTGTTGAGACTTCTTCGTAAAGACTTTGTTGAGACTTCTTCGTAAAGACTTTGTTAAGACTTCTTCGTAAAGACTTTGTTGAGACTTCTTCGTAAAGACTTTGTTGAGATTTCTTCGTAAAGACTTTGTCAAGACTTCATCGTAAAGACTTTGTTGAGATTTCTTCGTAAATGACCCTAGTAGTATATTTTTGGTGTAAATTTCATGAAAATTCAAGAGGGTAGAAAAGAGGGTAGAAAACGGGGTAGATATACCCTTCTACCCTAAAATATATTTTTGGGTCATTTACACTCATGAACTTTCTTGTCTATGTTTTGTTAAGACTTCTTCGTAAAGACTTTGTTGAGACTTCTTCGTAAAGACTTTGTTGAGATTTCTTCGTAAAGACTTTGTCAAGACTTCATCGTAAAGACTTTGTTGAGATTTCTTCGTAAATGACCCTAGTAGTATATTTTTGGTGTAAATTTCATGAAAATTCAAGAGGGTAGAAAAGAGGGTAGAAAACGGGGTAGATATACCCTTCTACCCTAAAATATATTTTTGGGTCATTTACACTCATGAACTTTCTTGTCTATGTTTTGTTAAGACTTCTTCGTAAAGACTTTGTTGAGACTTCTTCGTAAAGACTTTGTTGAGATTTCTTCGTAAAGACTTTGTCAAGACTTCATCGTAAAGACTTTGTTGAGATTTCTTCGTAAATGACCCTAGTAGTATATTTTTGGTGTAAATTTCATGAAAATTCAAGAGGGTAGAAAAGAGGGTAGAAAACGGGGTAGATATACCCTTCTACCCTAAAATATATTTTTGGGTCATTTACACTCATGAACTTTCTTGTCTATGTTTTGTTAAGACTTCTTCGTAAAGACTTTGTTGAGACTTCTTCGTAAAGACTTTGTTGAGATTTCTTCGTAAAGACTTTGTCAAGACTTCATCGTAAAGACTTTGTTGAGATTTCTTCGTAAATATTTTGTTGAGATTTCATTTATACTCATTCATCCTCAGGGCTAGAAGGCACGAAGTGCCTGGGAGCCCCACTACCTTTTTTTTTTTTTTTTTTTTTTTTTTTTTTTTTTTTTAGATGTAGAAATAAAAACGAATAAAGTGTTACTTCAAAAAAATACATGAAAGCACTATAATCAATAAACAATTTACTTTTTTGGCATCGAATTTTGCTCATCTTGAGCCATATTTTTCGTTTAATTTTCATAATACGATAAAACATATGCGTTATCATGTAAAATATGGATATTTTAGAAGATCATAATATATCTCGAAATTAAACGAAAGCCATTCTATGAGTCCATAAACAGTATTACTATACTTCATATGTCAAGCATAATGGGAATAATTTTGGTCGATACCTTTATTGTCGACGAAGTTCCCCCCTTTTCTAACGTGCATAATATTGGAATATCATTAAACATCTGTATGTATTTTATATGCATTAGCAAAAAATCAATATCAAACAATTTTTTATTCTTCTATTCTAGAATAACTATCTTCGTTTCGCAATTCTAAAAAGGCCATTAGTTACAAACTTGTTAATTTTTGTAGGCTGTGGTGTTTCAACTGGTGTCATCTCTGATGTAACAAATGGAGTTTTGCCCGGAGTTTCAATTGGTGTATGCATCATAGTTTTGGATGCAGTTTCATATGGTGTTGGAATAGGTGTAGTAATAGGTGTAGTAAGAGGTGTTATAAAAGGAGTTGGTTCCGAAGTTCTCGGTAGAACGCAACTATTTTTCCACAAAACTTTTCCATTAGGGCATGACGTGCATCGTGTGTTACCAGCTCCATTACATGTCTTACAACTGCTGTCGCACCGCTCGCAAGTACCGCGACCTGTATCATATGTCGCATCTGGAGTTTGATCGCATGGTCCGTAGCATCTTCCGTTGTACATCTTTGTTCCTGAGTTGCATTGATCACAGGTAGAACCGCTAGAGCAAGAGTAACAATTTGAAATACAATTAAAAACGGTTTCAACAGAAAAACATCCATCTCCAGTGTATTCTGTTCCTGTACCATCATTAAGGCCAGCATCTGTAACCATGGTGTAGTTAATGTAAGAAGAACCGCCATAGCCACAAGCTTTCCAATCATTTGTGTCAGCCCAATCACCTCCTCGACCTCCACGCCATCCACCACCTCCACCAGCTCCAGGCGTATACGTTGAATCTACTCCCTGACCTCCTTTTCTCAGAGAGCCGCTTCTTGGAATTTGAACTTGAGTTGTATCACTAATCCAACCAATATGATACCCAACCCCGCCTGCAGCACCTCCTTTATGTTTGCCACAGCCTCCTGAACCGCCGCCCGCAAGCATGATAGTAATATCAGTATTTGCAACTTTAACTTCAGTAGAACCACCTCCACTTCCGGAGTTATCGTGTCCTGCTCCCCACCAGCCTGTATCCTTACCACCGTTGCCGCCATCAGGCCATCCGCCTGTTGAGCGACTATTGCAACTTGCTCCTTTACTCTCGCCAACATTGAAAGTCACTGTCATGCCACCTTTAACATCAATATTACCTCGAATCCAAGTGCCATTTCCGCCATATCCGGCAGGTTTATTAGAAAAGCAAGCTCGACCACCACTTGCGCCTTGGATAGTGATTAGATACCGGCCAGCAGGTAAATCCACATTTTTACTTTGACTCTTGCAGTCCCAATGGTATGATACAAATAGGAAAAACAACATTCGAAAAACTTTAAATTTAAAAATTCTGACTAGAAAAAATCAACCCCAAAAATTGAATCCCCGTCAGAATTTTTTGTTATGTTTTGTTTTCCCAGCATCGATTATTATTATACATGGCACGGCGGGCGCAAAAAGTGACAAAATAGAATACCTATGGTGGCAAGACAAAGGAAACATTTTTGTAAGGCAAACATTATATCAAATACCTTTACTTTGTAATAAGAAATATAATTATCACGAAATTACAAATAAATATTGTTTAATATAATTAATAGCAAAATTGTTTTTTATTATTTCCCTTAAGACCTTACTTATTAAGTATACGTATAACAAGCTTGTACTGCATGTATTAGTTAATAGAACAAAAGAAAATGAGCTCAAATGAAAAAAATTTTCATGCTATTTTGGAAATATGCATATTCGAAGTATGAGAGTTGTAAACACTGAGAATTTTAAGCTTTGGTTGATGATAGTCTTTAATTTTTCTTGAAGTAGTAAATTATTTGATATGAAAATTTAATGGCCAGCATAATCAATCGTGCGTTTCGTTTCTTGATTGAGAAACGATGATTGTGTGCTAATGAATTATTGCGTCTGACAGGTTATGATTATGGATACCTGAAATTAAGCTTTTATGGGAAACATCACCGAGCGCCATTTGGCGCCCCTAATGCTGTTTCTATCGGTATGATTAAGGAGCTTTCTTATGCACTTTCATCACTTGAACTTGAACGCTACAAGATATATGCCCCCCTCCCAATGGGAGGTGGGAGCAAAAATTGAAATGTTTACATTGATTTTTGAATACTTTACAAGCACCCCTCCCAGTGGCGCGGGCGCAAGTGATCGGGTCAAAAAAAATCATAAAAATATTCAAAATTGCGATTTTAATAGATGTTTAAGAAGTAAATTTATTAATAACGATATTTCATAGTACAAAATGTGTTCAATCTCTTCGTAAATCATTCAAAAAAATCAAAAGAATTTCCAAAATTCAATTTTTTTAGTAAAATTTATATCTTTTTCTATCGTCTCCTCCCCACCAGTGGGAGCCACCGGAGGCGCGGGCGGCGCCGCTGGCGCCAAAAAAGTAGCGCCCATCGTGCCATGTATAATTATTATTATTAAAATTCCTTTTTTTAAATTTAGTCAGATTTATAAATTTAGTGAGCTTTGAATTTTGCCAGAAAGACAAAAACTTACTAAGAATTGTATCTTATTGTGATGTTTAAAAAAAAAAAAAAAAAAAAAGGTATTGGGGGTTCCAGGGCTGCGCCCCTCTACCCCCTTGAAGATGTTTAGTATGCAATGAAGTATAAAATGAGGTTTTTTGGGGGTGTGGGGTCTTCCAGGCACTTCGTGCCTTCTAGCCCCTAAAATTTTTTGAAAGTCGTTGCTGTTGACTTTTTGGTAGAGGACTCAAAATAGTAGAACTATGTCCGGACAAGTAAGGGTCTATCGTCACCAGGTCACTCGGTCACTCGGTCAAATGAACTTCTCTGAAAAAGTGTGACAACATGACATTTTGACAACAGTCCAGGAAGTCTTGACAAAGTCTTTACGATGAAGAACTTGACAAAGTCTTTACGATGAAGAACTTGACAAAGTCTTTACGATGAAGAACTTGACAAAGTCTTTACGATGAAGAACTTGACAAAGTCTTTACGATGAAGAACTTGACAAAGTCTTTACGATGAAGAACTTGACAAAGTCTTTACGATGAAGAACTTGACAAAACATAGACAAGAAAGTTCATGACAAAGTCTTTACAAAACATTGACAAGAAAGTTCATGACAAAGTCTTTACAAAACATTTACAAGAAAGTTCATGACAAAGTCTTTACAAAACATTTACAAGAAAGTTCATGACAAAGTCTTTACAAAACATTTACGATGAAAGTTCATGACAAAGTCTTTACAAAACATTTACGATGAAAGTTCATGACAAAGTCTTTACAAAACATTTACGATGAAAGTTCATGACAAAGTCTTTACAAAACATTGACAAGAAAGTTCATGACAAAGTCTTTACAAAACATTGACAAGAAAGTTCATGACAAAGTCTTTACGATGAAGAAGTCTTTACAAAACATTGACAAGAAAGTTCATGACAAAGTCTTTACAAAACATTGACGAAGAAGTCTTTACAAAACATAGACAAGAAAGTTCATGACAAAGTCTTTACAAAACATTGACGAAGAAGTCTTTACAAAACATTGACGAAGAAGTCTTTACAAAGTCTTTACAAAACATTGACGAAGAAAGTTCATGACAAAGTCTTTACAAAACATTGACGAAGAAGTCTTTACAAAGTCTTTACAAAACATTGACGAAGAAAGTTCATGACAAAGTCTTTACAAAACATTTACAAGAAAGTTCATGACAAAGTCTTTACAAAACATTGACGAAGAAGTCTTTACAAAACATTGACGAAGAAGTCTTTACAAAGTCTTTACAAAACATTGACGAAGAAAGTTCATGACAAAGTCTTTACAAAACATTTACAAGAAAGTTCATGACAAAGTCTTTACAAAACATTGACGAAGAAGTCTTTACAAAACATAGACAAGAAAGTTCATGACAAAGTCTTTACAAAACATTGACGAAGAAGTCTTTACAAAACATAGACAAGAAAGTTCATGACAAAGTCTTTACAAAACATTGACGAAGAAGTCTTTACAAAACATTGACGAAGAAGTCTTTACAAAGTCTTTACAAAACATTGACGAAGAAGTCTTTACAAAACATTGACGAAGAAGTCTTTACAAAGTCTTTACAAAACATTGACGAAGAAGTCTTTACAAAGTCTTGACGATGAAGAACTTGACAAAGTCTTTACAAAACATTTACAAGAAAGTTCATGAGAAAGTCTTTACAAAACATTGACGAAGAAGTCTTTACAAAGTCTTTACAAAACATTGACGAAGAAGTCTTTACAAAGTCTTGACTATGAGTTTAGATACGATAAGATAGAATATGAGAGAGGTCCTATAAACCGGAAAAAGTGTCACAACAAAGAAATTTTATTGGTAAGTAAATGTGGTTTGAAATAGGACTACTTGTTTTAGGTTTTTTCCATTGTGTCATTTACTTATTTGACGTGGCAGAAAGATATAGAGAATATGAAGATGAACCAATGCCAGCAAATGTTCAGCATATGTACTCGTAAGAGATATTTTTATCTAATATTAAAATGGACGCACAGAACTTAGCGAATGCACAGCAACCTGGACAACCAAACCCAGAGAATATTCCAAATGAAGTTAGAATACAAACTGCAATGGCAAACTATGGTCAAGTGCCAACAGATGTACAAATGCAAACTGCCATGTCAAATGACGCTGCGTTAGGCTTACCACCATGGTATGCAAATATGAGATGGAAAGAGTTTTATACAAACCCTGAAGTGGGATATAAACAACTCTATGCAGATGACGCGAACACAGGAGTTGACCCGGAATATGTTTTCTACCAGAGGAGAAATAGAATGTATGAGCTCCAGTTAAAAAATGCTATGGAACTCAGAAGGAAACGTAAGAGACTAGGCGGACATTAGATTTTTACATATAGTAAAATGGGTTTCTTCAGTAGTATTGGAAACTTCTTTCGAAATGTTGGAAGAGGTATATGGAATGGAATAAAATCTGTCGGAAGAGGAGTATGGAACGGTATCAAAAATATTGGTAAAAGAGTAGGTCAGTTCGTTGGTATTATACCTAAAGACCCTGAACCAGAAGAACAAGCTCCTGTTATACAACAGCCTGAACCTGCACCACAGTCTAGTTGGCAACCAAATCCAACACCTCAACCGTATTAAAATTATATTTTTACCGTTCGATAGTAGTTGTATATGAAACTAAGTTCTAAGTAAAACGCGTGTATAATGGAACTATTCTCTTTCTTCCATCTGTTGTAAACCATACTTGAAAGTCTGAAATACTTCCACTCGGTGGTTCATATAGCTTTGTAGGTTTTTCGTAAAAGTCATTTGCCAAGCATAAAAAAGAGTTTTGTGCACCAGAAAATGAAGCATGAACTATAATAGCATCTGAGTCGAAAACATTTTCATATGTTCCATTAGGGTTTTCGACTTCATAAAAGTTCGGGTGTACTGGATATTCTGCAGGCTGATTTAACATCCTCAAAAATCTATACCATGCCAAGTTGTTATATTTTGTAGAAATATAAACGTTTTCTCCAAGGTCTTCTATTCTATCGATTTTAACAGTTGCATTTTTCCTGTCATAAACAATATCGAGATGGTACTCTCCTTCGTCAATGTTAAACTGGTTTGCATATTCGAGATAGATATCGTTTATTTTTTCTTGAAAAGCTTGAAGAGTTGTTTCTAAGTTTACAAGCAAATTCACTTGTAAAAGTTTTCCCTGTTCAAATTTCTCATACGTACGTTTTTCTTTGTTATAGTATCGAATTTCAAAAGCGACCGTAAATGGGAAACCATGTATGGCTTCTGAAATGAACTTCATTCTACGAAAGCCAATAGCTTTTGTGACGGATGGGTCTCTTAGCCATCTTAGTGGGTAGTCAAAACGATAGCCTTCATGCTTTACGGTCTCTGTCTCAAACTTTTGACCGACATTCGTAAAAAGTTCATCTAATGGTTTAGTTGTAGCAACTCTTGAATTTTCTTTTTCTATTGAAAGCATTTTTTATCTAGAATAAAAATGTCGAAAGAAACAGCGTCTATGAGAGAAATACAACACAACCGACAACTCATTTTGCAAGCTCTAAATAAGAACACAACAAACTTTTCAAACTATTCTAAGATATCTGAGTCATTGAAAGAAGGAAACTTAAAACTGACGATAAACCCAATGACAGACGAGTTTCTGTTTCAAGACAGTAAGAACCATACTGTTTGTATAAATCCAACAAAAAGAACTTTAAACGAGAAACCTATAGATGAACTTCTTTTGAAGGCAGATATTGACAACAAGCTGACAAAGAGTATGTAGATGCAACAAGAACTATATTCTCGC